GAGAGAGAGAGAGAGAGAGAGAGAGAGAGAGAGAGAGAGAGAGAGAGAGAGAGAGAATAAAAAAGAGAAAGAGAGAGAAAAAGAAAGAGAGAAAGAAATAAAGAAAGAAAACCTGAGCCGAGAGAGAATCAAAAATAACCCAATTGATGATATGATAAATAAAACAAAAAAGTATATCGCTGGAGGAAACGATCGAACATCAAATGCAATTTTGATTCAGTGAGCAGAATAATACATAATCAGACTTTCTTCCAGCTGAGAAGAAGATTCATCGCTTCCCGTTTTCTTCATCATTCATATCAATCAACAGACTCCTACACCGGTTACCGATGTACTCTAAACGGGACCACTTGCATAAATCTGTCACTCGGTTAACAATGGCTTCATTCGCATCATCGGAGGATAATGGTAACGGTTCTATCGTCTATCTTCACGGCTGCCGGTTTCTCTCTGATTTTTTTTTTCAATCTCTTTCTCTTTCTTTTCTGTGTCGGTGTGTTCCTCTTTCTCTGTGTCCTACCTTTTCTCTTTTTTTTTTTCTCTATGTTTGTTTGTCTCTCTGTCTGTCTCTTTCTCTCCCTCTCTTTCACTCTTTCCCTGACTTTCTCTTTCTCTCTTTCACTTCTTCCCATCTACCCTCCCCCTCACTCCCTCTCTCTCTCTCTCTCTCTCTCTCTCTCTCTCTCTCTCTCTCTCTCTGCCCCCCCCTCACTCCCACTCTCCCTCTGCCCCCTCCCCCCTCCCTCTCTAACTCTCCAACTCTCCCCCCTATCCATATCCCCCCCATAAATACCCCAACCTTCACAAACACGCCAACAAACACGCCGATCGCTTCCCGTTCGGACCGCCAAAGCCACATACCCGACGGGCGTGAGGCAACATCGAGCCGATGCCCAATGGCGACCGCGTTCCGGCGGCTCCTCACAAGGTTCTCTCGGAGGCGTGAGGACCCGGGGTCGTCAGGAAAGGGCGCGGGTGACCTCCCGATGAAGATATCTGTCTCTGGCGAGATACTGAGACGAATATAGAAAAGTCCGCGCCCTAGCCCGCTCCCCGAGGCTCTCATTTGCAGGTCAACAGTGTATCATTATGTTAAGATGATGAAGGCTGTGGTTTTATTGAAGAGAAGTAACTCACTTTGCCAGACGTATAACTTTGGGGTAACATTTTCCGCACGACTTCGCGGGGCTGCATCACCGCCTGTCCGAGCGGAGCTACACCCTTCGGCGCTTGCTATTTGGCGCAGGTGATAGGAAAGAGATTATGGTTAGCCTGGCGTCTCGTGTCTATGCTCTTTGATTCTTTGGCGATCTCTCTCTGGCCTTTTCTCTTGCCTGCTCATGCATGCACACGCATATCATACGGGTGTGTGTGTTCATATATATATGTATATATCTATCTATCTATCTATCTATCTATCTATCTATCTATCTATCTATCTATATGTATATATATATGTACAAACACACACACACACACACATACACACACACACACACACACACACACACACATATATATATACATATATATATATATATATATATATATATATATGTATATATATATATATATATATATATATGTATGTATATATGTATATATATATATATATATATATATATATATATATATATATAATACATATATACATATATATATTATATATATATATATATATATATACATATATATATATATATATATATATATATATATATATATATATATATACATATATATATATATATATATATATATATATATATATATATATATATATATATATATATGTATGTATAAATATAGACAGATATCAATATCTATTTATCCATTTATATATCTATTTATATATGTATATACACTAACACATTAAATATTATGTATATCTATATTTTTCTACACACACACACACACACACACACATTAAATACTATGTATATCCATATCTTTCTACACACACAAATACACACACGTGCGCGCGCGCGCACATGTATATGTGTATGCGTGTATGTATCTCTATATACGGCCATCTGTACACCATATTTCCATCCCAAAATTCCAAGGCAAAAAGAAAAAGAAGGAAGAAAAAAACAACGTACAAAAAACAACTTACAAACAATAGTACCTTTTGTAATCGAAGCCAAGCCAATCAAACCAAGAATTCGGAGGGCTTTGATGCAGCGCCGCTTTCGTTTAAGCGAGAGTGCATGTTATCTTATCCTTGGGTCTTCTTATAATGTCCGTGTTAATTGAGGCTTGTTGGGGTCAAGTGATTTCTGGTGTTCCGAGTTTGTGAGGTTTGAAGGAGCAATAGGTAGGTAATGTTCGCAGGGTGGGATGTGTGCACACGAGCTCATACGTACACAGAGATGTAAGCGTGTGTGTGTTCGTTTGTTTGTTTGTTTGTGTATGTGCTTTTGTTTGTTTGTGTGTGTTTGTGTGCGTTTGTTTGTTTGTGTGTGTGTGTGTGTTTGGATAATTTTGGCGTCGTCATTTCACCGTTTTTTATTTAACTTTAAGAGTTTTTTTTACCTGAATCTCTATCTGAATATTTGTTACTGTTTGTGTGATTAGTTTTCTGAATTTCTATCTGTATTTCTATACTCATTTCTATCTGCATCTCTCTCATTTTCTATCTTATTTATCTTTTAATTTCTATCTAAATTTCCGTCATAGTGTTTTTTATGCTGGTCAAAGACGGCT